AGAGGTGACCAAGGCGGTGGTGCCAGAGGAGAGTCTGGTGGGACAGGAGACGACACGAGCAGGGAGCAGACTCTGGACCAGACCTGGAAGGTCCAGCAAACACCTTACTCGATGCAGCTACCTGGCCAGACTAAGCAGCCGGAGGAGACTTAGTAGTAAGGGTGTACAGGCTCGACCCTGGCCGACGAGTGAACGTGGCCAAGTGTCGGCCTGTCCGAGCACACGTGCAGTGGATCACTCGCTGACTCGGAGGAGTGAGCTGGTCAACCCCCCTATCCTGTAGGTCCGCTCCACTCACCAAGTTCGTAGAGAACGAGGGGAGGTAGAGACCTGACAGGGTGCCAGAGGGGGCTGCCGGGCACGGTAAGACAGTGGAGAAGCTAGCAAGGACAGGACCCCCAGAGGGGTCTGCCAGGGAGACTGCAACCGGCCGACTGAGCAACGTAAGAGTGGTGCGGTCTCGAAAAAAGGAGCGGGACGCACCCGAGTCAAGGGTGAAGGTGTGGAAGGCCTGAGCCGACGTAGTACCTGAGAGAGCAGACTCACCAGCACCTGGGGCAGCGGACGCACTGGCACCTGGGACAGCAGACGCACTGGCACCTGGGGCAGCAGACGCACTAGCACCTAGATCAGCAGCCTCACCAGCACCTAGAGCAGTGGCCTCAATGCCAGGGTCAGGCGGTACACACAGGTAACAGTCACCCTCAACACTAGTAGTCACAGAATACATGGTAGCAAGGATAGCATCATAGTGAAGATCAAAGACGGCAACCCCCGCCCTAGACAGATCTCCCCAGCAAGGGATCTCTGACGCCTCAGGGAACTGGCGACGCCACGCGTCTGTCAGGCGACCGAAGCAGCGCTGGGTGGAGTGCGGGCCCCCGCACTGCTCACCAGCTCGGTCACCGGTACGGAGGACGTAAGTGCAGGGACCAAAACCCCCACCGCGTTGGCGCGCAGTGTACCACCCACGAAGCTGCTGAGGGGACAGGGTCACACCACTCCGCTGCTGCTGGCGCGGACCACCACCTGAGCCACTCCTATGCGCAGAGTCGCGACTCGCTCCACCACCGCCGCTGCCGCCGCCGCCGCCTCCGCCGCCTCCTCCACCTCCGCCTCCTCCGCCACCTCCGCCGCCTCCGCTCCCTCCGCCACCACCGCCGCCTCCGCCGCCTCCACTGCTGCCGCCGCCGCTGCCACCCCCGGCACCACTCCCACCACCACCCCCACTCCCTCCACTGCCTCCACCACCACCTCCACCGCCCCCGCCAGCCCCTCCAGCGCCCTTGCCCCCCTTGCCCTTGCCGGTGCGGCGTCTCCCGCTCGGGGCAGACGCAGCGCCGACCGACTCGAAACCAACGAGGTCGGCCGCAGCAGCAGAGGCAACAGCGGGCAAGAGGGGGGAGGGAGAACACCCCTCAAAGACGGGGGTGCAAGGGTCACCACGAGAGGCTCCTACAGCGACTATACTCTTCTCTACTACTAGGAGGGCCTTCTCGAGGAGGTCAACGGTGAGAGTGGTGGGGCAAACTGAGAGGAAGTGGTCCCTGACTACGCGGAGAGAGTCAGGGAGCCGGGTGACTATGTAGTAGAGGGTGATGTACATGGAGGGGGGGTTCTTGGCGCAGAACTCAGCAGGAAGCGCAGCGCGGTAGCGAGTGTCACTAGTGCGGAGGTGCGTAATGAGGTCAGCGACTGTGGGAAAGGCAGCAAGGTCAGGGAAGAGGTACGGTAGCATGAGGCGGCTCAGTGCAGCAGTGGCAGGGGAAGAGTAGCGTGCAACTACAGCGTCGTACAAGGTCTGAGCACTCTTGTACTGGCTAAAGTGTGCACGCTCAGTGGTCGGTAAGTGGCGGCGCACAGCAAGGCAAGCAGCAGCATCACGCGTGGCCCACTGTGAGCGAACAGTGGCATCAGCATCAGCAGCAGGGGCAAGAGAGGCACCAGAAGTGAGGTCAAACAGGGAGAGACCGTCTGCCCTATCGCACTGTAGGAAAAGCTGCAGATCATCTACCCAGACCTCAAAGTCAACTGCCCGACCCTCAGCGTCAAAGGTGAGAACACTAGGGGAGGCCATGACAGCAGTAGACAGGCAGTGAGTACAGTGGGGCAGGGCAGTGCAGTGGTAGAGGCGCTGCTCTTACCAGGCAAGTGGGGCGGTCCCGGGCAGGCCGACAGGCGGTAGCGCCTCGGCTGCGGTGCGGCTCAGCGGCTCGGCTGCTGGGCGGCTCGGCGGTCGGGCGGCTCGGCTGCAGGGCGGCTCGGCGGTCGGGTGGCTCGGCTGAAGGGCGGCTTGGCTGCTCGGCGGCTCGGCTGCTCGGCGGCTCGGCTGCTCGGTGGCTCGGCTGCTAGGCGGCTGGGCGGCTTGGCGGCTCGGCTGCTCGGCGGCTGGGCGGCTCTGTGGCTCTAGCGCTGGGCGGCTGAGTGGCGACGGGGCCGCTGAAAGGGCGGCGACGGGCCGCTAAAAGGGCGGCGACTGGCCGCTAAAAGGGCGGCGACGGGGCCGCGGAAGGGTGGCGACGGGGCCGCTGAAGGGCGGCGACGGGGCCGCGGAAGGGCGGCGACGGGGCCGCTGAAGGGCGGCGACGGGGCCGCGGAAGGGCGGCGACGGGGCCGCTGAAAGGGCGGGCGGCGACGGGGCCGCTGAAAGGGCGGCAACGGGGCTGCTGTAAGGGCGGTGACGGGGCCGCGGACGGGCGGCGACGGGGCCGCTGGAGGGCGGCGACGGGGCCGTGGAAGGGCGGCGTCGGGGCCGCGGAGGGGCGGCGACGGGGCTGCGGAAGGGCGGCAACGGGGTCGTTGCAAGGGCGGGCGGCGAGGCCGTGGAAGGGCGGCAAGGCCGTGGAATAGCGGCGACGGGGCCGCTGAAAGGGTGGCGACGGGGCCACGGAAAGGGCGGTGACGGGGCCGCTGAAAGGGCGGCGACGGGGTCGCGGAAAGGGGGCCGCGAGGGCGGTGCGAAGAGGGCCGCAAGGGCGGCGCGACGGGGCCACTAGGGGCCGTGAGGGAGGCCGCTAGAGGCCACGAAGGGGAGTCACACGGGGCGCGACTCGGGCAGGGGCCAAGCACGCTCCGGGCAGGAAAAAAAAAAGGTCGGTGGGCCCTAGGAACAGTTCCCACGGGGGAACCTGCTCTATACCATGTGAACATTAGAACGAGAGAATGATTGAACTATGAAACAGTTGGGTACAAGTACTAACCCTAATTGGGTTGTACCCCTTATGGGCTACCCCACTACAGCCTACACAGATGTATAAGCTATAATGTTCTGACATACCCTTCAGCATGCCACTCGGAGCAGGCCTGCCTGTGTGGAACTAGAAAGCAGAAATTGGTTAGACTTTCACTGATGGTCCAGTTTGCCTGGACTCGCAATGTCGGGGTAAGTGTTCTCGCCCTCACTCTAACTAGGTTTCTTACGCGTTCGGTAGCCAACTCACACTGGGCAGATCTGGTTTTCTAATAACGATTTGGTGGGCTTTAACATGGTACGAATCTGGGCTAAAGAAGATCCCCCGCACCAGCCGCAGAATGACTTGGGGGGCTACCGAACAGGGCCAACTAGTGCGGAAGATGATGCTAGCATCTGTGCGACCGTTTGCCTGGCGAGGCAACATCTTCGAACCAGCAGACAGTTAAATTTGTGTGCCCCTAAAGTGGTGTTCTGCAGGCAGAGGTGGTAAATTTGGCACAAACAGGTTTGGCAGGATCTGCCTTATCACCAAACCTTGATAAGCAGCAAATCACTCATAAACAAAGATTTTGCGGACCCTGCCCTTTGGAAATTAACGCCTACATAACAACCCCACTAGATCACAGAGCAGGTGCTCAACCTCAAGAGCTGTTCCCGCCCTCCACCGTTGCGTACCGTGTCACAACTGTAGAATCTGCTAGATTTAAAGCACAAAGAACGCGTTCAGCTGGACAGACCGCAATCCTAGAGGTGGTGTTTCGTGGGAAACGCACGGGAAGCGAAAGCGGTCGTCCATGCGAGCGTCATCGCAAATGCGAAAGCTAATTAGCTGTCGCGAGTTCTTTCGACAGTGTCTCCACCAACCAGGACCACCCAATAAGAGTTCATGAGAGATTCTCAAAGCTGAGATTTCGAGATGGAAAAAGTGGTGCGAACTAATTACAGTTCGAGCGATGAGAGACCCATCCATGCTCTAGGCTTTTCCATATCCACATTCTCGCAACCCAAGTCAACAAGTGAATGACGCTTTCTTTCTCCGTTTCTCGGTTTCTCCATTTTCCCCGTTTCCCCTCATTCCCGTGTTTTTATCCCGATTCAAGTGAGCCTTCAATCTTCCAGCTTCTACGAGTGGCCTTTCCTCTTTGAGCTCAACCGACTCTAGGCAGAGACATCTTTCTCGTTCAATGGCACGAATAGGTCGCTTGATTAGTATTTTTCGGACTCACCCTTTTAACCAGCTTTCATTCCCGCAAAAAAACAATACTATTGCCATTTCGGCATCTCGGAGTTATATAACCGAATGAGGTCTACTCAGAACCCGGGAACCTTGTAACCATGAAGTTATCTTGTCCTGGTAATATCGTGAGCCAGACTTCACTCTGGGCAGGATCTGTATGTCCAAATCCGTTGTTTGCTAGTCAGAATTCGAAAAAGACGTTTTTTTTCGGCCATCACGTCGGATGGTCAATGGCTCGGCTGTAGCAGCTGAACATGGATCGGACGCGGAATTCAGGCACTCAGTGCAGGAATAGCTTACACAATTACATTGTGAGTATCTTGATTGTTTCTGTATGCGTGATGCTTACGCCAATTGGAGTTGAATCTGGGAGGATATGAACCTGACTTGGCAATTCGTCGCGAATAAACTTGACCGCCCACTGCCTCACTTGACCATTCACCATATCTCTTGACGGACAACCCTTCGTCCACAGTTCCCCACCCTCCGATACAACTTCGCCATCCATCGCGCGCATCTCAGCCGCCGATCTCCACCGGTGGCTTTTCACCTCCTTGCCTGTCCGCCACCATGCTTCTCGTCTCGTGGCTCAACTCGTTGCGGCGATGCTTCGGCACGTCGTTCCACATCCTTGTCTTCAGCATCTACTGGGCACAGGTGATATGCTAGATGGACAAGCAGACCCTTTTCCGAGGTTCATGGGGTTTTACGAATTTTGACGGCTTTCAACGTGTTTAAAGGGATAAACAGGTTATGAGGCGTCTCATATGCGGCTTCTTCCTTCCCCCGTCCACCGTTCTGCACCCCTCCCACACTTAGTTGTACACCCCAGGGCTTCCGCGCGTTCCCCTGGACAGGCATCAGCACTCTGGCGAAGGACCATCTGAAGCCGGTGGTGCCCTTGCCCCTGCCTTTTCCCCCTCCCTTTCACCCCATCACCGCTTCTCACCGTTCTTCATTCTTCCCCCAAACTCATTCGTACCCGCGCGTTCCCTTGGACGGGAATCTGCATTCTAGTGAAGAACCATCTGAAGCTGGGCCCAGCAGCAGTGCAGCTTATGACCTCCACTGCCTACATGACGTGGAGCGTGAAGCCGTTATATGGGTGAGTGGTGCGCCCCACATGGGTGAGTAAAGGCTCTCACGTATCGACCCAAGCGCACCTCATGACCTCCACTGCCTACATGACATGGAGCGTGAAGCCCTTGTACGGGTGAGTGTTGCGTGGCAGCCTTGTGTGGTTGTGTTGTGTGAGCGAGCGCTAAGCCCCGTCATATGGGTGATTGGTGTGTGGCGACCATACGCGTTAGAGCCTTTGAATTAACTCATGACCTCCATTGCCTACATGCTACACCAGCAACCGTCATCATGTTTTGACAGAAACTCTTGAATTGAAGCTGTTGTCTGGGTTAGTGTTGAACCCCGGAATTGGCGACACCCCAATGACGGCATCGGCGAATGGTGCTGTTTTGACATCTCCTACATCATCATCGCCAATGCCCTCTCGCTGCTCTCATCACTCTCCCTCTCTCTGTGCCTGCCCCCCCCGTCCACCCCCGCTGTGCAAGATCCTATCTGACAAAGGGGCGGCCAGCTCATCCCCTAAATCATCATTGCCAACGCCCTCTCACTACTCTCCTGGCTCGCCCTCCCACTCCCTGCCACCTCCGTTCACCCCTTCTCTCCAGGATCTTGTCAGACCGTGTGCCTATAAGGGGCGGCCAGTGCATCCCCTACATCATCATTGCAACGACCTCTCGTCACTCTGCCACTCCCTATGCTGGTCCCCTCCAATCACCTCCTCTCTGCAGGATCCTATCTGACTGTGTGCCTATAAGAGGTGGTCATCGAATCCCCTACACCATCATCACCAACGCCCTCTCGCTGCTCTCCTTGCTCGCCCTCACGTTCGTCCCAAGTCTCGCCGCCTCTGCCGCGCCCTTCACGCTGCTGCTCGTGCTACAGAACGTTGGGGCGGCCATGGCTGACGTGGTGATAGATGCCATGGTGGCAGAAGCAGCCAAGGGAGAGAAGTGAGTACCAGTGAGGTGATAATTGGTCTGTGGGGTTTTGGATTTTCTGTCACCCTGCTCTTTGCCTCTCATGTGGCCATGGTTGGCGTGGTGATTGATGCCATGGAGTCAGAAGCGGCAAAAGGGGACAAGTGAGTGCTTTCACTATACAAAAGGTCCACAAAATCGATCTACTGCTGTAGAAACGTGAGAAACTTAGAACGAGAATGAATGACTAAGGAATGGAAGTGATACAAATATGCAACCCTAGAAATGTGTACCCCATGTAGGCTACCCCACTATAGCCTACACAATATTATAATGTGACACACCCCCATAGGCAAAGTGGGGGAGAACAAGGGGTCACAAGACCAGTCAAGCAAAGCAGACAAAGCTCAGGGTGGATCACAACGTCACCACACAGTCCGAGCACAAGATCAAGGCCACAAGGCCAGTTCACATGCAGGAGTACACATATATATAAAAGACTAAACAAGCAAGAGCAGGTATATATATATGTAAGAGTACAAGCAAGGTCAAGGGGTGAGCAAGTGAGGCAAGACAGGCACAAGACCCAGCTGAGTGCAGAAGCGCTGATGATCACAAGGCGGAAGTGCCTTGGTGAAAACATCAGCAGTGTTGGCCTCAGAGGCCACGTACGCAAGTCGCAACTGACCACGCTGCTGCAACTAACGAGCAAGAAAGTAGCGGAGAGCAATGTGCTTCGTTCTGTGCTCCAGGCGCTGCTCTCGACACAAGGCCAGCATGGCCTTGTTGTCTACGTACAGCACCGGAGGAGAACGAGGCGGCTCTCCGAGGTCAGTCAGCAGGTAGGTAGACAGGGAAGCTCCTGTGCAGCCATGGCCCCGGCGTAGATCTCAGCCTCACAACTGGAGCCGAGAACAGAAGACGAGCGAGTAGCCCGCCACGAAACAGAGCCGGAACCAAGGCTGAAGGTGTAACCCTGTGACGACCGCTGCGTAGCCTGGTCATCTGCCCAAGAAGCGTCCGCGTGCCCAGTGAGGACCACTGGACTCCGCCCTCCAAGCACTAGCCCTATGCCCGACGTACTGCACAAGTAGTGCAACACCCTCTTCAATGCAGCCATGTGCTCTGGTCGGTGTCTCCCAGGAGCAACATAGCGTGCAAGAATGCTAAGAGGGTATGCAGGGTTAGGTCGTGTGCAGGTCATCAGGTACATGAGGCAGCCAACAAGCTCTGGGTACGGGCCACTCGACTCTACGGACTCATCCGAAGGCAGAGCTGAGAGCGAGTGGCGAGTAGACAGAGGAGTGGCCTGAGGCGAGGAGTACGTGAAGCCGAAGCGCTGAAGGACCTACTGCACCATGTGTGACTGAGTCAGGGTAATGGTGCGGCGTGCCCTGTCCCAGGTGATCTGCAAGCCAAGGTAGCTGCGCAGTTCACCCAGGTCTGTGCACGTGTGTCTCTTCTGCAGCTCGGACTTCACGTGGGCGAGTCCAGCAGTGTCAGCTGTGGCAAAGACCAAGTCGTCGACGTACACGAGGATGTAGTACGGCGGCAAAGAGGTGTCGGTGCGTAGAAACAGTGACGAGTCAGCAGTAGAGGGAGCAAACCCAAGAGCCGCAAGTGTAGTCCTCAGTGTGTCGTGCCACTCGCGCGGTGCCTCGCGGAGACCGTAGACTAGCCGTCGGAGGCTCCACTGGGTGCCAGGAGGGAAAGTCCCAGTGAAGCCAGGTGGACGGCTCAACCAGATCTCCTCGTGCAGGCTACCCTGCAGGAAAGCAGTGCTGAAGTCAAGGGAGTGAAGCTCGTAGTCACGGTGAGCGGCTATGTGTAGCAGCACCCAAAGAGTGGTCATCTTCGGGGTGGGAGAGAAGGTCTGAAAGTAGTCAACTCCCTGCCGCTGACTGAAGCCACGAGCCACGTACCGCGCCTTGAAGACAGGTGGAGAGCCCGGCGGCCGCTTCACCCTGAAGATCCACATGCCACTGACGATGTTCGCCCCAGGAGGGGGAACCGCGTCAACGTAGGTGCCTGTGGACTTCCAGGAAGCCATCTCTGCATCCATAGCTGCCTGCCACTGAGAGGAGTAGGGACCCTCTACGGCCTCCGCGTAAGAGCGCGGAGTCGGGATGTCTAGAGCATCCGGGTCTCCCTCAGGGGTAAGCAGTACAGACGCGAGATGAGGTGAAGCAGCAGCCAGACACTGGAACTCCTCCTGCCTGTCCTCAAGGACGTCCGTGCTAAGCGCACACTCACCCCCGACGGACGGAGGACAGACAGACGCAGACTCAGAAAACAAGACTAGCAGCGTAGTCTAGACGACAGCGAGCAGCAAAGTCGACGAGCTAAGCAACAAGAGCAAACGCAGCAGTGGACTCAAAGGAGGGGTCAGTGACGACAGTAGCAAGGAGACGCGTGACAGTAGGACTGGCAGCACGAAGAGAGTCCGACTCAGGGTCGGGAAGCGCAGGAAGATAGGACTCAGGAGGAGAGGGCAAAGGGGCACGCAGAGGAGCAGTGGACGGACGCAGAGACATCCGGTGCGTGCCAGGGACAGGAGGAGGACGGTGACGCGAACTGCGACCACTAGTGCGAGCAGCACGAACAGGCGACGCAGGACGAGACGCAGGCTCACGACGCTCAGCAAGACCTCCAGTAGGACCAGTGTACGGAGAAGGAGAAGGCAGTGGGGAGGCCGGCGGTAACTGTGACTGCGACTGGACAGGCGGTGGACGCTCTAAGGAAGGAGGAAGACCAAGAACCTGCTGAAGGAGCGGAACAAAGTACGGCCGAGGCCGCGCGGCGACTCCAGACACAGCACGGACAGCACCAGCACCCCCAGCGGCAGCACCAGCGTCAACAGCACCTCCAGCTCCAGTACCTCCAGCAGCACCAGCAGCACCCGCAGCAGGACCGCCGCCAGGACTGACAGCAGTAGCCTCAGCGCCAACACCCTCAGCAGCTCCGACTCCAGTAGTACTTGCAGGACTAGCACCTCCGAGACCGGCGGCACCAGCACCCTCAGCAACCGAAAAAGCACCAGCTACAGTAGTACGCCTCCAACGCCGGGCAAACCACTCGCGCAGCTCCTGTGGAGAGAGTGGCTCCCGCCGAGACGAAGCACCCGGAGAACCACCAGGCCCAACACCGCCAGACGCCACACGAGCAGGTCCAGCGGCCGCGGGCTCCGCACCCCCAGGCTCAGTAGCTCCAGACTCAGCACCCCCAGGCTTAGCAGCTCCAGACGCAGCACCCCCAGGCGAAGGACCCCCAGGTTCAGCACCCCCAGTCGTAGCACCACAAGGCTCAGCACCCCCAGTCGTAGCACCCCCAAGCTCAGCACCCCCAGGCTCAGCACCCACGCGCGCAGCACCCCCAGAGTCAGCACCCGCAGCAGTACCAGAGTCACCAGCAACCTCGACCGGCTCGACTGCATCTACCTGGGACACACCTGAAGGGGCAGGACCCTGAGGGGGGAGGGGGTCTACCGGGGGGGGACCTGGCACAAGGAAGTGCAGTGGCGGGGGGAGGGAGGGAGTGCGGTAGGGGAAGAGGCGGTAGTAGGGGACTGACTCGTCGAACGTGACGTCCTGGGAGGACAGAACACGACGAGAGGTGGGGTGGTAGAACTGCCGCCCAGGGGCGTCAGGGGGGAAGCCAAGGAAGACACAGGGAGCAGCACGAGGGGACAGCTTGTCCGCAGACAAGTCGCGGACAAACGCCCGAGATCCCCAGACACGGAACGCAGACGCATCGCCGACCTTCCCCGTCCACAGCAAGGCTAGGGAGGTCTCCGGCCTGGAGACCCTGGGGTGAAGGTTGATCTGATGCGCCGCGTACCGAACCGCAAACGGCCACAGAAAATGGGGGGCAGCCGTATGCATCATGGACGTACGAGCGACGTCCATGACCATGCCAATGCGGTGCTCAGCAATCCCATTTTTCTGTGGAGAGTCCGGAAGCGTAAAGGTCTGGCGGATGCCTTGCGCACGACAGTAGGCTCGCAGAAGGCCAGAGGAGAACTCTCCGCCTCTGTCAGAGTGCAGACGCAGAACAGGAAAGTCTTAGCCGAAGCTCCTCCTGAGCTGGAGACGAGCTGCGCGGATCCAGTCGATCAACACCTCAGCGACATCACCCTTGCTGCGCAAGGGGAAGACTGTGGTGTAACGCGAGTAGTCGTCAACCACCAGCAGGAAGTAGCGCTCGTGTCCCTGTCCACGGACGCGGGCTGGGCCCCACACGTCCATGTGAAGCGTCTGCAGCGGGGCCTCTGTCGGGGGAAACTGAGAGGAGTGAGGGGCAGCCCGGAGCCGCCCCTCTACAGAGGGGACACAGGAAGGACCAGGCCCTGGAGGAAGGGGAGGGAGGGACCGGGGGAGACCAGAGTCAAGGACACGGGAAGCCATGCCTCGGAGACGAGGCAGGGAGGGGTGACCAAGACGGTGGTGCCAGAGGAGAGTCTCGTGAGACAGGAGGCGACACGAGCAGGGGGCAGACTCAGGACCAGACCTGGACGCTGCAGCAAACACCTGACCCGACGCACCTACCTGGCCAGACGCAGGGACAGGAGGGCACCCAGTGGTCATGGTGTAGAGGCTCGACCCCGGCCGACGCGAAAACGTGGCCAGGTGCCGGCCCATGCGTGCGTTCGAGCAGTGGGTCACCCGCTGACTCGCAGGAGTAAACTGGTGAACCCCCGCATCCTGCAGGTCAGCACCACTCACCAAGTTCGTCGAGAACGAGGGGAGGTAAAGACCAGACAAGGTGCCAGAGGGGGCAGCCGGACACGGGAGGACAGTGGAGAAGTGAGAGAGGACAGGACCCCCAGAGGGGTCTGCCAGGGAGACTGCAACCGGCCGACCAAGCGGCGTGAGTGTGGTGCGGTCTCGAAAGAAGGAGCGCGAAGCCCCTGAGTCAAGTGTGAAGGTCAGGGAGGCCGAAACCGACGCGGTACCTGAGAGCGCAGCCTCACCAGTACCTGAGGGCGCAGACGCGCTGGCACCTAGAGCAGCAGCCTCACTAGCACCTAGCGCAGCAGTACCAATGCCCGGGTCGGGCGGGAAACAGCGGTAACAGTCACCCTCATCACTAATAGTCACAGCATACATGGCAGCAAGGATAGCATCAAAGTCAAGATCATAGATAGCAACACCTGCCCTAGACAGCTCTCCCTAGCGGGGGATCTCACTAGCATCCGGGAACTGCTGACGCCAAGCGTCCGTCAGGCGGCCAAAGCAGCGCTGGGTGGGGTGGGCACCCCCACACTGCTCACCAGCGCGGTCGCCGGAGTGAAGGACGTAGGTGCACGGATCGAAACCCCCACCACGCTGACGCTGCGTGTACCACTCACGGAGCTGCTCAGGAGGGGGGATGTCCCGAGAACGCTGCTGCTGCTGCTGCTGCTGCTGCTGCTGCTGCTGCTGCTGCTGGCGCTGACCACCACCGGAGCCGCTCCGCTGCGAAGCACCACCCCGACCAGCTCCACCTCCTCCACCACCGCCGCCTCCACCTCCGCCACCACCGCTGCCTCCGCTCCCACCGCTACCACCTCCGCCGCCTCCGCCTCCACTGCTGCCACCGCCATCTCCACCCCCGCCGTCTCTCCCACCGCCGCCCCCACTCCCTCCGCCGCCTCCACCGCCACCTCCACCACCCTCGCTAGCTCCACCCGCGCCCTTGCCCCCCTTGCCCTTGCCAGAGCGACGTCTCCCGCTAGGGGCAGACGCCGCACCGACCGACTCAAGACCAACGAGGTCGGCCGCAGCAGCAGAGGCGACAGAGGGCAACAGGGGGGAAGGGGAACACCCCTCAAAGATGGGGGTGCGAGGGTCACCACGAGAGGCTCCTACAGCAACTATGCTCTTCTCCGCTGCTAGGAGGGCCTTCTCAAGGAGGTCAACAGTGAGAGTTGTGGGACAGACTGAGAGGAAGTGGTCCCTGACTACGCGAAGGGAGTCAGGGAGGCGGGTGACTATATAATAGAGAGTGATGTACATGGGGGGGGGGGGGTTCTTGGCGCAGAACTCAGCAGGAAGCGCGGCGCGGTAGTGAGTGTCACTAGTGCGGAGGTGCGTAATGAGGTCAGCGACTGTGGGAAAGGCAGCAAGGTCAGGGAAGAGGTACGGTAGCATGAGGCGGCTCAGTGCAGCAGTGGCAGGGGAAGAGTAGCGTGCAACTACAGCGTCGTACAAGGTCTGAGCACTCTTGTATTGACTAAAGTGCGCGCGCTCAGTGGTAGGCAAGTGGCGACGCACAGCAAGACGTGCAGCAGCATCGCGCGTGGCCCACTGGGAGCGAACAGTGGGATTAGCATCAGCAGCAGGGGCAGGAGAGGCGCCAGAGGTGAGGTCAAAGAGAGAGAGACCGTCTGCCCTATCGCACTGTAAGAACAGCTGCAGGTCGTCGACCCAGACCTCAAAGTCAATGGCTCGACCCTCAGCGTCAAAAGCGAGGACACTAGGGGTAGCCATGACAACAGTAGACCAGCAGTGCAAGCAGTAGGGGGAGGGCAGTGCAGTGACAGAGGGGCTGTGCTCACCGGACAGGGCTGCTCGGGCAGCTCAGCGGTAGGGCGGCTCGGCAGCTCGGCGGCTCGGCTGCATGGCGGCTGGGCGGCTCGGCTGCAGGGCGACCCGGCGGCTCGGCGGCTCGGCTGCTCTGCTGCTGGGCGGCTCGGTTGTGCTGCTGCAGGGCGGCGCGGCGGTCGGCGGCTCGGCTGGCAGGGGCGGCTCGGGCGGCGGGCGGCGCTGCAGTAGTTGAAGGCGGCGGGGCCGCAACTGAAGGCGGCGGGGCCGCAAGTGAGAGCGGCAGGCCGCAGGCGAGGGTGGGGGCGGGCCGCAACTGAAGGCGGCGGGGCCGCAGGTGAGGGCGGCGGGGCCGCAACTGGGGGCGGCGGGGTCGCAACTGAGGGCGGCGGGGCCGCAGGTGAAGGCGGCGGGGCCGCAACGGAGGGCGGCAGGGCCGTAGGCGAGGGCGGCGGGGCCGCAAATGAGGGCGGCGAGGCCGCAGGTGAGGGCGGCGACGGGGCCGCAGCTGAGGGCGGCGTCGGGGCCGCAGGGGAGAGCGGCGACGGGCCGCAGGTGAGGGCGGCAACGGGGCCGCAGCTGAGGGCGGCGACGGGCCGCAGGTGAGAGCGGCGACAGGGCCGCAGCTGAGGGCGGCGGCGGGGCCGCAGGTGAGGGCGGCGGGGCCGCAACAGAGGGCGGCGGGGCCGCAACAGAGGGCGGCGGGGCCGCAAGTGAGGGCGGCGGGGCCGCAATTAAGGGCGGCGACGGGCTGCAGGTGAGGGCGGCGACGGGGCCGCAGGTGAGGGCGGCGACGGGGCCGCAACCGAGGGCGGCGACGGGCCGCAAGTGAGGGTGGCGGGGCCGCAACTGAGGGCGGCAGGGCCGCAATTGAGGGCGGCGACGGGCCGCAGGTGAGGGCGGCGACGGGGCCGCAGGTGAGGGCGGCGACGGGGCCGCAACCGAGGGCGGCGACGGGCCGCAAGTGAGGGTGGCGGGGCCGCAACTGAGGGCGGCGGGGCCGCAACTGAGGGCGGCGGGGCCGCAAGGGAGGCCGCTAGGGCGGCTCGACGAATGCAGAGAGGGGAGCGCGACTCGGGGAGCGCGCTCCGGGCAGAAAAAAAGTTCGATGTGGTGGGCCCTAGGCACAGTTCCCTTGAGGGAACCTGCTTGATACCATGAGAAACTTAGAACGAGAATGAATGACTAAGGAATGGAAGTGATACAAATATGCAACCCTAGAAATGTGTACCCCATGTAGGTCTACCCCACTATAGCCTACACAATATTATAATTTGACAAAACGGACGGTACACTAAACCTTGAACCCTTCTATAGACCCAAAGCCCTAGACCCTGGAAACTGCTTCTGTAGGTGTGTTGCTGCCGCCTCACCCCGCGCCCTTCACGCTACTGCTCGTGCTGCAGAATGGGGGCCGCCATGGCTGACGTGGTGATTGACGCCATGGTGGTAGAAGCTGCCAAAGGAGAAAAGTGAGTGCTTTCTATGAAAGATACCGGTACAGAATACCCTGAACCCTTCTTTGAACTCGAGACCTCTGAGCCCTGGAAACGGTACACTCTAGGTGCGCTGCAAGCCGCCTCCCTCGCGCCCTTCACGCTGCTGCTCGTACTATGGAACATGGGGGTGAGCATGGCTGATGTGGCTATCAGGCCATGGTGGGAGAAGTGGCAAAAGGAGACAAGTGAGTATCATGAGAGAGAGCCTCCCAGGCAGCTTGTCGGTTCGCTGCTCATCACCTCCCCCTTTTGTGTTCCCCCTGTGATGTGATCTCCCGGTGTGCAGAGAGCAATATGCGGGCGACCGACAATCCTTCTCCTGGTTATCAATGGCAACGAGAGGCGTGGTGGGGCGGAGCCTCCTGGTCGGCTTGTTGGTTCGTTGCTCATCCCGTCCCCACACCCCCCCCACACACACACACTCCACTTGTGATGTGTTCTCCTTGTGTGCATGGAGAGGTATGCGGGCGACTTACAGTCCCTCTCCTGGTTCTCCATGGCAGCGGGCGGCGTGGTGGGAAGTCTCCTAGGCGGCCCGGCTTTGAAGACGCTGCAGCCACACGGCATGTTTGCGCTCTTCGCGTTTTTCCCCCTATCACAGCTCACAATGTGTTTCATGTCGTCCAAGAGGAAGCTTACAGGGGGGACATGAAGTGGGGAGGAGGACAAGGGGGATGAGGAGGAGGAAGAGGAGGGGGTGGAGGAGGAGGAATGGGAGGGAGAGGAGGGAGAAAGGGTGAGGGAGAGTGGGAAGGGGGTCGGAGCAAGTGAGGGGGATAAGAGAGTGAGGGACTCTATGAGTGATGGTACAACAGCAATAGCACCATCCTGTCTTGAAATCGAACGAGCTTCTGATGCAACCTGGGACTCTGTTGCTGATTCCCTGGTTACAATTGACTGTGGAAGTTCGCATGGCAACCGCATGAATGGTGGCAGTGAGAGTGAGGAGAGCGGCGAGCTGAGGGAGTGGGAGCAGGTGGTACCAGAGCAGGTGGTACCAGAGTATCAAGAGGAGGAGGAGAGTGTGGAGGGCAAAGGGAAGGAAAGGGGCAGTGATATATTAGGACCCTCTGGGGGTGATTCTAATGACAAGTATCAAGAAGCTATAGTGGCGAGGAAGAAGGATGGAGAACAAGAAAGAGGTGGGGGCGAGGAGGGTGGAAAAAAGGAGGAGGGTGGGGGCGAGAAGAGTGCAGCAAGAGAGCAGAGCATTGGGTTGAGACAACGGAGAGGCAGAGAGGGGGGTGACAGGGAAGGAGGGAAGGGAAATGCAGTTGAGACTGGAAGGGCGGAAGGAGCAGAGGAGGCGAGGAAGAGGAGAAGTGAGGAGAGAAGTAGAAGGAAGGCAGTAGGGGGGTTGGGGAGGGAGGTGCTCAATCTGGTGATGGTTCTGTGGCATGCTGTCATGTCTCCAGAGATCTTATGGTGAGAGCATGTTTTAATAAGAGCATGTTCTGGTGAGGAGGTCATTTTAAAAGCATTTCGCAAGCTCCATTCTATGTTGGCTCTGTGGCATGCTGCCATGTCGCCAGACATCTTCTGGTGAGCGCGTTTTCTGGTGAGGGGAATGTTTGGTGAGGCCACATTCGAGTGAGGATGCGATTTTGAGAGCATCGCAAAAGCTCCATATATTGATGGCTTTGTGGCATGCTCTGATGTTTCCAAACAAGGTTTTGTGACTGCATCTTCTATCACGTGCTCGTATATAATATATGTAGAAAATTGTGTCTATATTTGCGTATATGTTTGTGTATTTATACTGTGTATATATATCTACTCTCTCTCATCTCCACTCCCCTCACCTCTCCTCTTCCCCCAACCCTTCAGGCCCATGGCATGGTTCATGATATCATGTACAGTCGTGCCTACCATAACGTCCTCCCGCTTCTACTTCCACACCAACCGTCTGCACCTCGACATCTCCTTTCTTGGCTCCACTAAGGTACGCATTGATCAAACACGCAAAGTTTGGACTTTTTGAGTTGATGGGGCGCCTCAAAATTCCAACCATTCGCATCTCGACCCTTCCTTCCTTGGCTCCACCAAGGTTTTTTATGAACAAACACGCATAGATCCTTCCATTTGTTCACCCAAGAAATGACACGCACAAACACACAAGAATTGAAACGTCTCAATGCTCAACTGGTTATATTCCCGCCTCTTCAACCAAAACTTGTGACCCTTTCGAGAACTCCCAAAAAATGAAAAGTGCAGCAGGCTATGATACTTTGCCTACCTCTCCAAACTCACTCACCCACTCCTCCATCCCCCAATCCTCTGCCTGCCACCCCTCCCTTCCCCCACACCCATTTTCCCCACTCACTCCTCTAAGACTCCCACCACCCCCCTCCTCGACCCCCCCAAGGTCATTGGCTAGGCGGGCCGTTTTCTTGTTCCTCAACTCCCCTTTCTCCACCTCACCCGCTTCCCCACTCGCTACTCCGGGGCTTTCACCACCCCCCGCCTTGCCCTCTCGCCCTCCCCAAGGTCATTGGTTGGGCGGGCCTCATGCTCGTTCCTAACCGTTCCCTTCTCCACTCCACCTTTTTCCTCATTTATTTCTGTGTTGCTCTCGCCACTCCCCTCCTTGCCCTCCCCAAGGTCATTGGCTGGGCGGGCCTCATGCTTAGAACTCTTCTCTACAACACGCGGCTCAAATACGTCTGGATTTGACAAATCTTCATGTGAGTGCAATCGTTATGCTGCTTTGCACACGATTCTTCGCGTGTGGCATGCCTTTTCCTACATTTTTTCATAAATATCTGTGTTTTTTCATAATTCATACTGGTTAAATAAAAAACTCCTGCCCATCCTTTCTAAAATCAAAGCATCTTTGTCATTGTTCTAAAATTATTTCACATTTGGGTGCACATTTCAATAGCAGTCTGCACAATTGCCGACAACCTCCTCCCCTTTGCGCCCAACCTGAGGCTCTTTCCTTCTCATGCACCCCGTTGACCATTCCCCTGCTTTCTAAACCCAAAAAAAAAAACTAAATCCTGAATTGTAGGTGGGTGCACATTCCAATGGCGGTCTGCACGATTACCGACATGCTCCTCACCTCGCGCCTCAACCTGAGGCTCGGCATCCCTGCTAGTGTCTTCCTGTTGCGGTCTGCTGTTGTTTCTGATGCGGTGAACCAGTTCAAGTGAGTAGAGTTGAAGTCAAATATTTCAAGCTACTCTTGAGCTTAGGTGGGAGATGTTAACGGGAATGGAGTGTTAGCCCCGCCCTCGCTTTGGTGACGCCGACGTCCTGGTCGGATGTACGGGAGAAGCGTGAACGTGGACGGCCTCGCATATTACCTTCAGATAGTAGCCAACTTTTGCACCTACCAAGTCATTTGTAGGCCGACAGCCGCGTTAGTCGCCATAGTCGACCCCGTTGTAGAAGCGGGCGTAGCGGACACCTTGGAGGCACGATTGGCTGATGCGAGGAAACGCCACGCGGATGGCAAGTACGAGACGATCCCCTTGACGATTGTTGAGTTGGGCATCTGGGCACAGTGGGTGACGGAGCACCCTTCCCATTCTGCATCTCCTCGACCGGTGCGAAACGAAGGTGGCGTCGACGACGAGGTCGACAGCGGTGCATGAGTCATCGGCAGTGAAGGCACAAAGATGGTAGGGGTGATTAAGGTCGACGGTGGCGTCGACAAGAGTCAGGTGCGGGTGCAGCGGCCGACGGCAGCTGCAGGCAGCTCGCGGGTCGAAGTCGATGGTCGACATCGCTCTCCTCTACGAAGCATTGGAGGGCTCTTGGCGACGCCGCACGTGACGGCGGGCGGGATCGCACCGCCGTACGGTCACTTCAAGTTCACGCTGGACAAAACCACCGCCACACCACCGCAAGGTCGATGGGACTTGATCACATGGAGGGAGGCAATAGAACCTTAGCTGGACGTCGCCGGGCTAAAGGGCTTTGCCAATAGCACTGTGCCAACTCCGTCCGGGGACGATGTCGAGCTGTGCGGAAAGATTCGTGCTGTTCACCTGCTCGCCTTCATGATCATCTCGAGGTGCTGCTCGCCGGTGGTGCAGATAGCGCTCAGGTCGTGTCGAGAGCGACTGGATGCTGGACAGCAAGCGTGGCGATTTATCCTGTCGACGTACCACGTGATGGACGACCTGTACATTGGTCAGCTAGAGGAGCAGATGACACACCTTCGGATGGGTGATCAGGAGTCGGCGTCAGACTACTGCAACCGTGCTCGATGGATCCTGGATGAGATGCGGATGGCGGGCGTAGAATACTCGATGGCGTCCTACATCACCCACGTCGTCAAGGGCCTACTGTGTAGCTACAACGTGATGAAGAGGATGATGAAGGTGCCCGGCACGCGTGAGTCTCTCGACGAGGACTCCCTCACCAGCTACGTCATCAAAGATGAGGCTCTGCAGGAGGCAGAGCAACCCATAGAGCTCCTTCCGCCGGCAAACTATGCTGCACCAACGAAGCAGAATCGTCAGCAGGGGCATCGCGGGAAGCCGGGCGGAGGTGGTAGCGGAGATGGGTGGTCGACGAAGGACGTCGACGAGAAGCGGTTGACATGAGACAAGGGCCGTGGAGGTGGTGGTCGACGTCGGGAGTGCTGGATTTGCCACGACTTCAACCATCTCTCCTACGAATGCCCTGACCGTGACGACAGCGACGAGGACGACAACAAGGGAGGCCGCGGTCAGTCGACCAGTTGTCGCCCCTGTCGAGTTGAGAAGCCGCGCAAGGAGAAGCAGGCGTCGAAGAAGACGTCGTCGACGAAGGACGTCAACAACTCCAGCGGCAAGGGCCGAGGCAACGGGGAGGCGTCATGCTCGATGGTCGGCGTGGTGGAGCCGACGGTCTCGCTGGCGCCGGAGGCTGGCGAGGACTTCCAGGCGATGGCGGCAGCTGTGCAGGCGAACCCGATGGCGATGCTGCTCGACAGCGGTTGCTCCCACCACCTGATGGGGACGAAGGTAGTCTTCGTCGACATGACACTGAGCGACGGTGTGAAGCACGTGCGTAGATTCAATGGGGCGTTGTAGCCTGTCGAGGGTCGCGGAACTGTCGCTCTGCAAAGGGAGGTCGGGAAGCAGGTCCTCATTACAGACGTGCCCTACGTTCTCGGAGCACAGACAAACCAATTGTCAGCTGACCAGCTGAATGAGAGCGGAGTGCAGCTGCAGGGCGGCGGCGACGAGATGCTGCTCATCGCCGCGAACGAGGAAGTGCTCGGTCGTGCACGCTACACCGGACGAGTCCTCTGCACTGACCTTCGTCCCTGCTCAACGCGGTCGCCATCTACCGAGGTGGTGGCTCTGCGGACGATCATCTTGGCAACAAATTCGACCCCCGACCGGTGGTATGCGAGGCTCGCGCACGTCGGCGAGGACACAATCAAGAGGTCAGCAAAGCATGAAGCTGCTAATGGGCTCGACATCAAGTCGTCGACTGGAGTAGACCCGCCGTGTGTCTCATGCATCGGAGGAAAGCTGGCGTGACATACCTTATCCGACAAGGGCTCGGGCGTAAAGGAGGCACTGGCTGTTGTGCACATTGACATGTGCGGGCCATTTCGGGTGGCTGCCAAGGATGGTAGCGTGTACTTTCTGCTGCTGAAGGATCACCACACTCGGTTCGTGTGGGTGGTGCCGGTCGCTAAGAAGAGCGACGTGCTGCGGGAGTTTGAGAAGTGGCTGGTGCAAGTGGAACGGCAGTCGAAGAAGTCAGTGCTGATGCTCCGCTCAGACCGGGGAGGGGAGTTCCTCGGGAAGGAGTTCACCAACTTCGTCAACGAGAATGGCATCGTCCACGACCTGACGTGCCCCTACAGTCCACAGCAGAACGGCATGGCTGAGCGGGAGATGCGCACGGTCGTCGAGTCTGTGTGGACGATGCTGCTGCACATGGGCGTCCAGCACCACTGGTGACGCCTCGCCCTGCGACAGGCCGTCTGGGTGCGCAACTGCTTGGAGCCGTCAACGACGCCGCCGGGAACTACGCCGTACCAGCTGCTGACTGGGAAGAAGCCCGACCTCACCCTGGCATGGGTGTGGGGCTGCATGGTGCAGTTTATGGTTCCCGAACAGCAGCGTGGTGGGAAGCTAGCGACAAAGGCTCGGTGGGGGCTTCACCTAGGCATGTCGCCGGAGAGCAAGGGCTAGGAGGTGCTGGACTTGACCGGCAAAAAGGCCATTACGTCGGTCGAGGTGATCTTCTACGAGACGCTGTCACTGGAGGTGTGGAAGGTGAAGTACGGGCCGGCGTCGGGGCGGACGCAGGCACACCCGCCGACGGACACCTCGACGGCGACGGTCCTGTTGTTCGCCGAGCTCGACGAGCCTGCAGATGAGGATGTTGAAGAAGTTCTTCCTCCTCCCCCTGTTCTTGCTCCTCTCACCCCCGTCGCAGATCGCCCTGCATCGACACTTGTGTTGGCCACCGGCAATGAGGGGAGCCTTGAGGCGTTGCCTGTGGCGCCAGCCAGTGACCTCGCCAACGGCTGACAAGGCGCCAAGCTCGTAATCCCGTCGACGACAGGGGAGCAGACAGGGGAGCCGGTCGAACAGGAAGCAGCAACAAGGGTGCAGTCGATAGGGGAGCAGCAGATGGGATAGTCGAGAGGGGAGCAGCCGGTCGAAGGTCCAATGCTGGCGAAGCAGCTGGTCGACGACGAGAATGTCGACGAGGAAGGGGAGCAGTTGGCAGAAGAAGAGTCCTCCGATAGTGACGTGGTGGAGGTGCCGATCAAGACGCCCGAGCTGCAACGCTCAGAGCCTAATCTGCGACGCTCTGGTCGATCTCGGAGGCCACCAAAGTAGCTGAGCTACCACGCCTGCCTACCATCGGCTGCCTTCACCACGGTATACGACGAGGCCGAAGATAACGTCGACCTGCCGGAGCTCGACCCCGAGCACCGCTGGGACATCGCGACGATGACCATGAAGGAGGCGCTGGCGAGCTGGAAGGGCAAGGTGGTGAAGGCCGCCATGGACGAGGAGATCTGCAGCCTCATCGGCATGGGCACCTAGGAGCTGGTCGAACGCCTACACGGGGTAGACATCATGAAAAACCGGTGAGTGTTGACGACCAAGTACCGTGTCAACGACACTGTCGAGCGCAAGAAGGCGAGGTTGGTCATGAAGGGATTCACGAAGATGTTCGGTGCTAACTACAACAAGACGTACTCGCCGGTGAGGAGCTACGTCACGCTGAGGATCTCCCTCAGCATCGTCGACATCCTCAACCTCAATCTGATGCAGCTCGACATGAAGAACGCTTTCCTGTGGAGTAAGCTCGACTGGGTGTTGTACATGTATCAGCCGGACTACTTCGACGATAGGACCGGCCGGGTGTGCAAGCTGTTGAAGAGCCTCTATGGGCTGAAGCAGTCGTCGC